TTGCACAGGTGCAGAGCAGCAATACATGATAAGTTGGTCCCAGCAGAGAAGAATATGGTGTCTATTTAAAATTAGAGGAGGAAGAAGCAGAAAATGGCTAGCCCCAGTTGTAATCTTTGAGAGAAGGGGAAGCTCTGGTTTGAGGAAAATGGGCTCCAGATGGCTGGACTCTGTGCACCCTGTGAGAGTCAAAGCCAAGGACCAGTCGCCAAGAGACACGGGCCCTGGTCTTGCCTTAACACGTGGGACCTTTGGCTGGTCACAAAAAATCAGAATTTTGGCTCTGCAAGACACCTTAGCGAGAGGAAACAAATGCCAGGAGAGGTTCATTTGCTCAAGGTTGTTAATGCCCGTGTTCTTGTCAATAAAATTAGAATGCTACTCACATAGTTCATATTGCTGTTGTCACACGCACACCCTCCTTAGTAATAGCGAGGTGTGGCCGATAGTCTGAAATCTTGAATTTCACTGATAACGCCGATTTCTCATTTAGCCAATACCACTTCGATTCTGTGATAATCTGAATGCAAGCTGACCAGAGCCAGCCTACTCTACATAAAAAATTTATGAATGGAAAAGATTGCAAAAACTATTCACACTATTAAAATACTCCGAAGGCACCCACTTACAAAAAATGCATTTCGAGCAGCAATGTGTTTTGGTCCCTGGGGGTCCACAGATCACACAGTCCCGAGACATAATAAAACTGGACTCCTGTTCAAGTATCTGAATTAACTGCTTTGCCCTATGGTTGTAACTGGTCATGTTGTTTTGTTTATGATAATGTTAAAGGCTGTACTTTCATTTTACAGAAAGCCCAGCAGTTACGCTTTATCATCAGACAAGAATCAGGATGTACACACACAGGTGAGTGACAAGTTTCTGCTGGGACACGGAGTCGCCCACTCACAGCAGACAGCTGTTGCCACCTGTTCCCTTCATGTGAACGCAAGACTGGACAAGGAACGTCACAGACACGTGACTGAGCGAAAACGGGGATACTGGTACCCAAACTGTACTCGCACCATGAACAAACAATGCAAGAAAAATGCCCACAGGAAAAGGCGTAGGCGGCAATACATTATTGACATGCCAGAGTCAGGAAAAGTGATTGTGTAGAAAGAACTCTCATAATCCCACTGGCTTTTTAAAATAATTATTACTATTTACTATGTGGCACCTTTGTATAGTAGAATGACTAGTTTTCCAAATAGAATCTGTCGTGGTGTTTCTCCCTCTCCCTCCCCTCCCCCCCCCCCCCCCCCCCCCACACACACACACCATCAGTCCCTCCATGTACAGAGCTGCTGCAGTGGTCCTGGGGAGAACTCCGCTAGAGAAGGGAGGGCGCTGTTTATGCCCCTCCAGGTCACTCAGCGAGGGGAGGACGTCTGCACCTGGGTTATGTCAGTGTGCGAAGGACACCGCAGCAGAGTAATAACATCGCTCCTGGAGGCAGCACTGGGCTGCGAGAGGCCTGCGAGGAAGCAGCGGGTCCCGTGGGGCTTCGGGTAATTTAATCAGCAGCGCTTCAGCACCGCAGAACGCAAGGGCAGACACATAATAAAGTCAGCACGCAGCTCCTGCAGCTCTTCGGCTCAACCTGAGGGGGAAATACTACCGACTGGAGCGGGCCTCTCCACCTCGCACAGCTGCCGTTTGGAACCGGGGAACTGTGTGTCATGGGAACCTGCCTGGGCACTGCAGGGTGTCTGACAGCATCCCTAGCCTCCACCACTGGGGACGCCACACTCCCCCATTTGTGATAAAAATGCCCCCGTTCACTGCCTACATCAACTGAAAAAGTTAGTTTGTTGATACATGAGCCACTTGCTTCTGTACACACAATAAGGAGGTTAGCACAGGGCTGAGAGAGAAAAGGGGTGTAGGCTTCTTTTATGTAAAAATTAGAGGCCTGGCCGAAACCAGTTTGGCTCAGTGGATAGAGCGTCGGCCTGCGGACTGAAGGGTCCCAGGTTCGATTCCGGTCAAGGGCATGTACCTGGGTTGCGGGCACATCCCCAGTGGGAGATGTGCAGGAGGCGGCTGATCAATGTTTCTCTCTCATCGATGTTTCTAACTTTCTATCTCTCTCCCTTCCTCTCTGTGAAAAATCAATAAAATATATTTAAAAAAAAAAAAAATTAGAGGCCTGGTACACGAAATTCGTGCACTGGGGGGTGGGGGGGGGGCAGGGGTTCCCTCAGCCCAGCCTGAGCCCTCTTGCAGTCCAGAAGCCCTCAGGGGATGTCTGACTGACAGCTTAGGCACAATCCCCACTGTCAGTTAGACGTCCTTAGCACTGCCACGGAGGCAGGAGGCTCCCACCACCGCGCTGTGCTTGCCAGCCGTGAGCCAGGCTTCTGGCTGAGCAAGGCTCCCCCTGTGGGAGCGTACTGCATTGAGCATCTGCCCCCTGGTGGTCAGTGCATGTCATAGCAACAGGTCATTGCGCTGTTTGGTCAATTTGCATATTAGCCTTTTATTATATAGGATGCTCTGTAAGCGTCACCAACAGACACTTCACATGGAATGATAAATGACCAACCAAAACAAAGGAAAGGGCTCACCTCACTAGACACTAAATAAACACAAATTAGAACACTGAGATCCATTAGCAAAGAGTTAAAAAATGGTAACACAGGGTTCTCAAGGATATGGAGGTGCAGGTGAAAGTGAAAGCTGGTGAAAAGTTATCAGATAAATCTAAACACGTGTCTGTAAAAGTTTATCACTGCATTACTTGCAGTAGCAGAAAAATGATAAGCTAAACATGCTCAGCAGGGGATTCATAACATCATTGTATTTGACACCATGTGGTCATTAAACATTAGTATATGGGCCTTTATGTTACATACTAGGATGTACATTATGGGATTGTTCTCAAGAGGAAAAAGTGCTCTCATTCCTGCCTAGAAAGTCACGAGGGAAGAGAAAAAGGACTGGGGCTTATCTCTAGGATGCATGATTTTAAATTACTTTCATCTTTACATATATCTGAATTATCTGAAATTTTTAATCTTTAGCATGAGTTCTTTAAAAAATAGAAATAAAATCAATACTAAGGGCTCTGTCATTACCACCCTCCCCCCTGAGGGGCCAATCGATCCCCACCATGCACTGTGTGACATCAACCCTGCTGGGTGCAGACACAGACTTCCTGCCACCTCATAACCCTGGGAGAGGCAGATGCAACCCCGTTTCACAGAGTAAGGACATCAGTGCCCAAGGTCATGCCATTAGTAAGAGGCAGTTATTAACAGCAAGGCAGAATTCTGCCTGTGAAGACACTACACCGGCAGCATCCCCGTACATCTACAATCCTATATAATAAAAGGGTAATATGCAAATTGACCGAACAGTGGAACAACTGGTTGCTATGATGCTCACTGACCACCAGGGGGCAAACACTCAATGCAGGAGCTGCCCCCTGGTGGTCAGTGCGCTCCCACAGTGGGAGTGTGCTCAGCCAGAAGCCCAGATGAAGTTCTTGTTTTGGTTCAGTCATTAAAGCTCAGCAGGGACTCTGGGAAGTCACTTCACCCCTGACTATTGCCTCATCCAGGAGGTGCAAACACAAGTGAGCTTAATTCTCTATCACAAGGCTATAGATACTGTTTGCAGAGGCATGGAAAATGCAAAGCATGCCAAGTCAATATTCAAGTACAAAGTCAACATCCATGGGTTAACCTGTGGCGAGTGCAGTGGCAGTGGCGGGAGCCTTTCCCGCCTTCGCGACAGCACTAAGGATCCCTTGGGGAATGTCCACCTGCTGGCTTAGGCCCACGGGGAGCAGGCCTAAGCTGGCAGGCAGACATCCCTCAAGGGCTCCAGGACTGCAAGAGGGTGTAGGCTGGGCTGAGGGACCCCCCCCATCCCCCAAGTGCACGAATGTCATGCACCAGGCCTCTAGTGTATCTATAAATCTCAATAATGGAAAAATTCAATTATGTGACCCTCCCGAGTTCCTCTGCAGCTACACCAGCCAAGGTGCACCCCCAAGGCCCTCCACGTCAGTTTCTGGGAGCAGCGATCTGAAAGCCACATTCCTTGCTCTAAAGCCCTGTCCTCTGCTTCCTAAGAGCTACCGAGCTCACCCTGCAATGCCAGCTCCAGCTCGGCCGAGTCTAGGGCCACCCAGAGTCCCTGGCACCATGGAGGCAGGACATCCTCTCCTCTATACATGACTATCTCAGTGCCCTTTCCTCACTTTACTGGTTGTTTCTTTACCAGCGGATACATCTCATCTTTATGGCCTCACCAAGGAGCATAGTAATTAAGATTCAGAATTGGGGGGAAAGCTTCGAATTACCTAATTACCTTTAGCCCCAAGCACGCAATACTTAATATTTTTTCTAAACAAAAGGTGTTTTTGTCCCTTCTTTGATCTTTTCCTAAAATTTCATTATGTACCATGCACTTTGCCAAGACGAGGCCTCTAATTCTAGAAACCCTCAGTCAGGGGAACCAGAAACCAACCAGGGATTGGAGAGGCGAGAGGTCCTGGGTGAGAAGGCCAGTCCAGGTCCGTTGGGTGACTTCATTATGTCCTCTACAGCACTGGGAGTTGACAAAACAGTGAACACACCCCTAATTGACTTAAGTACAACAAACATATTCCAGGGCCAAGTGAAAATGACCTTTGGATTATCGGCCCAATTTGGCTATTTATGCCACCTCTCCCCTTTTTTGGCCTGGACGGCTGAAATCTATATGCTCTCAGGGGGGCTGTTTACAGATGAGTCAGCATTGGAGCTGATGAGAGTTGGTGAGAAGGACAGTGGACCCGGGCCCCAGATGAAGTTCTTGTTTTGGTTCAGTCATTAAATCTCAGCAGGGACTCTGGGAAGTCACTTCACCCTGACTATTGCCTCATCCAGGAGGTGCAAACACAAGTGAGCTTAATTCTCTATCACAAGGCTATAGATACTGTTCGCAGAGGCATGGAAAATGCAAAGCATGCCAAGTCAATATTCAAGTACAAAGTCAACATCCATGGGTTAACCTGTGAGGAAACTCTTCTCACATTAAATCTATGTTATATTTCTCAAGAGTTAAAATAAGCTCAAAGGAGAGGCTGGTACCAGTGACCACAGAAAACAAACTCAAGTCTCACACTGCGTTACAGAAAAACACCCGAGATGGTAAAACACCCAGACATGCACATTTCTTTCACATACAGTTTGATTTAGCACCAATGAACACACAGAGAACCCAAAAAGTCCACTGCACATTGATTACATTTCTTGGGATCTAACATTTAAAAACTGCCAGACACACAGTTTACCCTCAAAGAAAACTTATTTATCAGGACAAACCACTTTGGGAAGGTTAAGTATAAGAAGTAATAGGAGGGGGTGAAGGGAAACGGCCACTACATATTGCAGAAACACACTGGAAGGCAAACATGGCCCAAAGAAAAAGAAAAAAAAAAAGTCAAAAGCAGGTTATAAAATAGCGCTCTGCTCCAAGGTCAACAACTTGAACCAATAAAATGAAAAAACCTTGCCCAACCCCAGGTCAGTGTGTGACTCCAGGAAAAAGCTGTGCAGTAATGGAACTCCTGAGAGCAAAGAGGGATACTACTCAAGGGGCCTGTCGTGATCTGAGGACCAAATACCCCAGGCCTTGACCAGAGAGGTTTAGTGTTGTTCGGAAACACAGGGCACGCCTGGAGCGTGTGGACCTGCAATTGCATGCCCTGCGTTCATTCACTCGTCCCACTGAGGGGAGATGTTAAGTCTCTTACAGCTCCTTCCTAGCAACTCGGGTTTTCTTCTCCCTCTTTGCGAATCATGGGGAAACTGCATGTCTGTACTTGTTACATCTCATGAAGCTGAAAGCAATAAAGGATGACCGCTTATGGCCAGTTGTAGATGTATCTCCACTGAGGAAGCGCCTTAACACAGGGTTCCATGACTGGGAGGAGAGGAGGCTGCGGTGATTTTCCTGAGGCTCCTGCTGGACCACAACCAAGATGACCAGGCACTTCATAGGAAATGAGAACAAAATCCTCTGGAACAGTAAGTCAGACTCTCAGGTTAAAACGATGCTTGCCACAGGAATACATGTATCCCAGATCCCCCAGAAAAAATCTGAGAGCACATGGTAGCAGCTGCTAGAAACTTGGCACTAGATGAGAATGGAACAGTATCTTTGAGATCTCAGACAGTTTTAGATGTCAGCATACGGTGTTCAGGGCCCACTCCTGAAGATGCTGTTAAAACAAAACCAAAATAACTACCTGGAGAGAACATGCATGTTCTAAGAGGCCATTTTATCTGGGTGAAGGGATGATTTAACTCATGAAACTAAAGAACATAAGAAAACAACAACCACAACAGTTTCCTTGAATATATTCAACTATCAAGGCAAGGCATTCTTCAATATAAAACATTATAATTTTCCCAATACTACAAAGAAATCCAATAAATAACTGTACAGTGAAGGGCCCCGATGAACCCTGTGAGTGACCCTGGGACACCGAGCAGCTGCAATGGTGGAGGTGCCCACAGCACCAATCCCTCCGCAAGGTCGCCTGCAGTTTGGTCTTTTTCAAATGTGACCCGCTGGTGTTTCCAAGCTGCTTTATAGATCAGTCCCATCTGGTGAAGCCTGGCGGGGAGTGCAGCCCAAAGAGTACAGCCCAAGAAGTGGTCAAAGCCAAGGTTTCCTCACGACAACTCTCTTCTTCCAAGGGACTAGTGACCGCTGAGCCTGGCTTCAGACTAAGTGCTTTAGCCGCATGCGCTTGGAAAGTCTTCTGTGCCCATCACTGCGCCCATCACGCTGGGAAGAGCTCGGGAGGGCTCTCTCCATAGCAATACTTTGCTATGGGATCCCTATAGGTGTTCTCGTGCTGCACACTCTGTTGGCAAAAGGGAAGACAAGAGCTCCATGAGAGAGCAGTCCCACACACCTCCCTTCAGAGCTGCTGAAGTCCAAGCGGGCTGCTGTCAGGCACTCCCTGCAGGAGCCTGGCCACATCCATCTCCGAATGTCACTATCAGGCTCCCAGGCACTTTCTGGAACAAAGGCGAATGCTCAACGCAGAATGCCAATGAAGATCATGAAAATGGACATAACATCACTGCATGACTGTTTCTTTTTATGTACACAAGTGAGTTTCTAACAACCTCACTGCAACTCAGGACAACTAGTTTTTCTCAAATTATTTTATATTAGATTAAGGTCCAAAGGGTGTTTTGCACCTGACTCTGTGCTTCACAGAAATTCAGTCACTGGTACTGAACCCTGAAAATATGGAGGAGATACATTTCAAATCGCTTTCATAAAGTTTTATGTATCTCTGGGTTTGGCACTCGGGCCAAATCCCACAATACCAGACAAGCCTTATTTGGCTGAGAAATAGGAAGTGTGATTTAAAACAAACACCCCGATGGCTAATTTTTCAGCAGTTTGTTTTCATACAGGCAACTTGAGTTTTTGGCTAGTCTAGAGTTCATGAATTAGCCCACGACCAATACTAAACATCTACACTGTAAGTACTAATCCAATTTGCAGACGTGTCGCCAAAAGCTTCTCTTTCTTGGGATACTGCTATATAAACAAATTGCCAACTGGGAAATATTTCTTTACAATAGAAGAAAGTTTAGCATCTTCACTCACAACTGGAAATAACTTCTGGGTTTTATCAAAGAAAGAAAATATTTCGACTTTTCTGGCAACTCTCGGAATGAGAGAGAATCTGAATCAAAGTTAGTCACGTGTTCAGCCTCCTCCACACTTCCTTTAAGGCCCATTCAAGTGGAAAGCTCTTCCAACAAAACAAGCCCACCAGGAATTTTTTCATGTTTTCAAATGCTCATTATAATCCCTGAAACATTTACCCAATGATGCTGGGTGCTCTAAGAGCAGACCAGAGACATAAAAAGTGGCGTAAAATCAAAAGGTGGACTACAGACAGACATCTGGCAAAGAGTGCAAGAGTTCCAGAAAATGACAAATGAGTCAGTTATCTCAGACGAAGCCAGTACAATCTTGGAGACACCATGAATAGAGGCCAGAAGAAGCGTGCTTGTATAACAAACACGTCGGTGATTTTTTAAAAAGACAGCCCCACAACAGCCCAACCACAAAAGCTGAGAGCCAAGGCCACAGTGATGGACTTCCAGGCGCTTTCAGCAGCAGGTGCGATGTTCAGTGCCCGAACAGCAAAGCATGTAGTGACAGCATGCTGATGAGTATCGAGAGCTTGACGACCAACACATTACGCATGTATTTTTAAACACCACCTGCCCCTTCCCCTTGAATCATAAAATAAACCATAACTCTGTCCCAGAACAAATTACTATTTACTCTCAATGAGTGGTTGCTGAAAAGCCTCAGTTCTGACAAAAGAACTTCTCTCAGAAACTGGACTATTAAGATTCCACCCAGATTTAAAAAATAATTTTAGGCTCCCACTTAAAAGTATAGACATGCCAATCAGATGGGGAGATGCAAGTTGATCAGACCTTGATTTAATATAAACATTTTACTTCTCTGACTTGTATAAATCTCATGCTGACATTCTAAACACTCATTCCACCAAAGCTTCATTTGAATCTCTTCTCCATTATCACTCATATCCTATGACATATCATAATCATACCTCCATGATCATACTTTCCCACCCACCCTTCCTCCTACCCACCCAACCCCCAGCTAGAAACATCAGAGCTTCTGACCTGGGATGAGGTCCTGCATTTAGCCAAACACAATTCAAAGTGATCCTCCACTGCCATGAAGAGGTTCTGGAAGGCCACAGCTGCCCGGTTGAGGAAGCGCTCCAGGAGAAGTTGCTATGGAAACAAAAGTTAGTACCTATAATAAATTCCAGACTCAGCAGCACAAAAAGTAACCTTGGATATTTCTCCTAAACTAGGAGACTGCTGACGGGGTGGGGGTAAGAGTGAGGGAGGCAGCCAGCTCCAAGGGGAAAGAGCACTGGTATCTTATTCATCAGATATCTGATTAGCAAAACAATGGCCCATTCTGCAAAAGAACCATTCAAGTCACTGGGAACCACCTCCTTCCTTGGAGACAAAGGCTACTTCACAGCAGCAACTCCTGACACCTACAAAGCTCCCTTCTAAATTCTATTTTCAGAAGAACCCAATGCTCATCATAAAATAAAGGCAGAGAGACGTGAGCAGATGCAGAACAAGGAGCAGCTCTCCATACCTTGTTGGGCTGCAGGCAGCAGGAAACGCAGTGCTCGTAAGCACTGCAGCAGCCGTTGGTCAAGCAGCCATCACAGCAGTACTGCTTGGTGCCCGGGACGTTGACATTACAGCAGCCATTCACCAGCAAGTCCTTCCTTTCACAAACGTATCCTGCAAGTCAGAGACTACCCTGAGTATTAAAGCAGCAGGGATCCCAACTCACTACCAGCCGTGATCTAGACTCAGCAACGTCCGCACTGTATGCAAAGATCAGAGACAGAATCTGGAGTCTGGAGAATCCTAAGCACCAAAGAGGTAGGAGAATCAGACACTACGTGATGAGGGCTTGCTTCTCACATGCCATCCTTTAAAAACGTGAATTCCCACATTAGAAGTAGGCTCCAGCCTTACCTGCCTAAAACAACCTGTTAGTCTGCTGCTGCGTGTTTGATTTACTCTCCACGTAAAGTCACGCCTGTGTTTTCCTATTCTAATCTAGGGGGAAAAGCCATTTTTTCATCTACACCTGCAGAAAAATGCCATTTTTTCAATACAAAAATCTAAAAATAGAAAAAGCCAAGGCATTAATTCCCAAAAGTGAAATCCTTCTAGATAAAAAACAAACATCTGCCCCCTCCTTTTCGCAAGTATCTTTTAAATGCTTGCCATTTATTGAATGGTTTGGAAGATTTTTTTTTTAACTGAAGTAGTTACACTTCACCTTTACAAACTGATTTAGGCTGTTTTCAAGTATACATACCAAGTGTTCAATTACCCCTCAGTATTGGGAAAAGGGAATCCTCTGATACCCAAGAAAGAAAAATCCTCCTAATTCCCTCCACTCCTCATAAATCCCATCATCTCTCCCAGCCAGCGTGGCTCAGTGGTTGAGTGTCGACCTATGAACCGGTTCGATTCTTGGTCAGGGCACATGCCTGGGTTGTGGGCTCGATCCCCAGAGTGAGGGGCGGGGGGTGCAGGAGGCAGCTGATCAATCTCTCTCTCTCTCTCTTTCTCTCTCTCTCCCTTCCTCTCTGAAATCAATTAAAATATATTTTAAAAATATAAAATAATAAATAAACCCCATCATCTCTATACACACGCTCCCTCCAACCCAGCCAATCCATGCTCAACTTTAAGGAATGAATTACCTTGCAAAAGTTAATTTATTGTTCAGAGTTGCTAACAGACACTTCTCTACATCTTTCTGGGAGTGGGAATGAGGTATGTGAGAAGAAGTGGATGAGGGACACCACTTGGCCCTTGGGAAACTCCCAGATGTACACACAGCTCACAGATGCACACACAAGCCCACAGGTATATGCCCAGGCCCACAGGTCAGAGCAACTGTCCATCCAAATACCCCAGCTTCTTAACCCTCAGAGAATGAGACTTGGTGAAGTATACTGTTGTTTTCAGAAACTACTCTGGAAAACAAAGTCTGTGCAAATGTAGGAAGCACCAGGAACACAATGGAAGAAACTAAAAGAGCCCTCACTCACACTTGGAAAACTGGGGCTTACCTGGGAACTGGTGCTTTTCGTTACTTTAACTGTGCCATTCTGTCTTTAAATTAAGAGAGGATGATTCCAGCCCTAGCCGGTTTGGCTCAGTGGCTAGAGTCCTGGGTTTGATTCCAGTCAAGGGCATGTACCTTGGTTGCAGGTTCCTCCCTGGCCCGGGCCCTGGTTGGGGCGCGTGCAGGAGGCAACCAATCAATGTGTTTCTCTCACATCAATGTTTCTCTCTGTCTTTCCCTCTCTCTTCCACTCTCCTTAAAAAATCAATGGGAAAATATCCTCGGGTGAGGATTAACAGACAGAGAGAGACAGAGACAGAGAATGATGATGATGATTCCAATGCCATCACAAATGTTTCTGGGATTACAAGGATTATAACTATACAAACAAACAAAAAAATCCAAGAAGCCAAAATGTTTCTTGAAATTCTGCCCCAAATGATAAATACACAGCAATTTTACCACTTCTGGGTCAGGAAGTTGTAAAATATAATGTGACCTACACTCCACTTGTTGAAATTATCTTTCTGCCCTTTTCTCTTTTCCACATTCTCAGTGTCAACATCAGGCCTTCTTTCTCTCCCTAGTGCTAACTGCCAGCAGCCTTGAAACCAGAGGTCTTTCTAATTTCTGGTGAAAGAAAGCTCACCAAGATTTCACCTTTTCCATCATAAATCTAAGCATGCAAACATCATTTCCAACAGGAATTCTGTAAGGTCACAACCGCAGAGTGTATTGCTACTGACTGAGAAATTAACTTCTAACCTTTGAAAGTCTGAAATTCTAATTGGTTGTCCTATTTAATAAGGTGTTACCCTGGCAATATTCATTGTGACATCTGCTTCCTAAAAGGCATCAATTCCTGCAAGTTTTCTTCATTAAACTGTTTCTCCCTTCTCCCACACTCATGGAGGTAAAATATAATCTATGGTTCTTGAATTTTTAATTGCTTGATTCTTGGAACTTTTTACTTAATAAGTCTGAGAATCTTTGTCTCACTCGAAATAATCAGAGGAAAATTATTCTTTGGCTTGCTACAAAATGACAAACTGTCATTCATAACCTAATATTAAATATTAAAGCCAAGGCATAGATGACATGTTTTCTCACTATAAGCATCATAAAAAACAAAACAAACAAAAAAACACCAAAAAAAAAACAGTTTATAAGAGAAAAAAAACACTGAACTCCAAGTTCAGTCCTTGTCCCATGTCTGCCTGCTGACTAGCTGTGTCATCTTGTGGAAGTAACTTAATTCTGTTAAAAATAAAACACAGGTTATTTGCAATGTTATCTGCTTTTTCCTTGAGTTCCTTAACCTCTCAGTGCCTGTGTCTTCACCTACACAGTGACAATACCTCTATATGTATTATAGCAATAGCTGGACCTCGTAGGACTATTGACAAAATCAAATGGGATATTCAAGGAAAGCTTTCACCCAGTGCCCAGCACATGGTAAGAGCTCAATTAAGGCAGGCTGAGGATTAGTGGGAGTCTCGCTTTAGGAAGACTGAGCCAGATTAGAGTTGTAAGAACTGTAGCAGCTGTCTAATCCAACTACCTCACCAGCACAGGAATCACCTTTCTGTCTAAAAGGAATCAGAAAAGTCTGAGAGAAAGTACCAAAACAGACAGACTACTATTTTAGCTGTAAGAGTAACACATTTTGAATGTGCTTATAATTCACTTGAGATTACCCAATCAGTCATTAACAAATGCATTTCCTAAGTACCAATTATTATTCAAGTTACCAAAGAAAACTGAGCTCCTATTCTATAGAATTGACCAAGATGAGAAGAAAAGACCGGTGAGCTGTAAAGAGACTGGCAGGAAGTAGCAGAGGCACTGATGTGTGATAAAATGCTAAAACTCTAAGTTATAGGCACAAGGAGTTTCAGAGTTAGAATTATCAAACCAAGCTTCTCTGATGCTGAGGGGAACCTTGAACAATGAGTTAGGTCTGAAAGACAAAGAAGACGTGAGAAATGTTGGAAATGAGCACGAAGGGAAAAGGCACATATAGAATCCCTACTTAAAAACCCTAGGAATGGTGGCACCAAAGCACTTCACTGACTGCAGGAGGAGAAGGAAGCCAGCCTTACCTAGTTCGTCGGTGATGAGGTGCTTCCCTTGGATGGAGTTCCGGCACTGGTTGCTGGGCCGACTGCTATTGCCCAAGTTAAACTGCACTTTCCACAGAATGGGCTGATCATGGTCTTGAACCTGGAGGAGATTCCGATCTCTCACTGCCCTCTCCTCCTACAAAGAGACCATAAAAGAAAAGATTAAAGTATCATTTCTTATATTTTCACCAATTTTTTCATAGAAACAGCAACAGAACAGACACAATTTTTAAAAAGCTTGCACAAGAATCTGCATTCCCCTGGTATGAGCAAAATCTGAGCCAAAGTCACAAAATCAAATGCAGAAAAATAAATTAGGGCTATGCTATGCTTCGCAACTGGAGTTCTTACATGAATGCCCCTTGATTACGTGCACATTCTAAATAGGTATAAAAGTGTTAGAGCTAAGATAACGGTATGGCAAGGTATACTACAAGCTATTAACATGGGAGGGACATAAGTGATTATTAACAGCTTTTAGCATTTTTGGAATATTTTTGTTTTTAAAATGATAAAAACATTATTTAAAAACATAATTATCATTAACAATAGGAGACACTAAGGGATCTACAGAAACGCTATACTAGCCTTGAAAGTTTCCTGTAAATCTATAATTATTCCAAAATAAAAAGTTTATTTTTAAAAAAACATAATTGCCCTAACCCCGTGGTCGGCAAACTGCGGCTCGTGAGCCACATGCGGCTCTTTGGCCCCTTGAGTGTGGCTCTTCCTAAGCCTTAGGAGTACCCTAATTAAGTTAATAACAATGTACCTATGTATATGGTTTAAGTTTAAAAAATTTGGCTCTCAAAAGAAATTTCAATCGTTGTACTGTTGATATTTGGCTCTGTTGACTAATGAGTTTGCCGACCACTGCCCTAGCCGATTTGGCTCAGTGGATAGAGTGTCATCCCATGGACTGAAGGGTCCTGGGCTCGATTGTGGCCAAGGGCATGTTCCTCAGTTGCAGGCTTGATCTCCAGCCTTGGTTGGGAGGCAACCAATCAATGTATCTCTCTCACATCACTGTTTTTCTCTGGTGTCTCTCCCACTCCCTTCCACTCTCTCTAAATATCAGTGGAAAAATATCCTGGGGTGAGGATTAACAACAACAAAAAAACAAACAAAAAAAACCAACAACATAATTACCAACATTAAAGACAAAAATTGCCCACAATCCCATCACTTACATAAAGTGCTATCTATTTTTGCATATTAACTTCTAGCCTTCTGACCCTGACATTTACACTTACAAATGAGGATGCTTGGCATTCAGCACTTCTTGACACTAATTAGATGGTAAACCATTCAAGCAGCTACATTATCTCGAGAATCACATTTTAAGGCTACATAATAATCCATCATGTTGATGTGCCATAATTTGTAAACATATCCTCTACAGATCAACATTTAGCCCATTCTTGACTTTTGTTATCAGATAGCAATGCAATAGAAATGTAGTTTTTATTTATTCTCTTGAATAAATAAATAGTACTTCTACAATTACTTTGTAGAAGTAATTATTATAAGTAGTCATGTCATACAGTGCCAAATAACTTCCCTGAAGTTATACATACGCCATTTGTAATATTACCAGCATTTACATAAGATAGTGTTTACAATTTACCACGCCTCACCAGGCCTGGATTGTGTTCTTCAAATTACTAGTGTGAAACAATCCTTCAAGGTGGCTGTCATTTCTACTCTGCCCCTCCCTCCTGCTTCTTTTAAAGGAAAGAACTGGCACCAGCAGGAACAGGATGGGTTATGCAAAAACAACATCTGTGTTCTTCGGGTGCAAGAAGAGGAGCTAAATGCAGAAGCCTTGGGAACTAGGGCAAATCACTTAGGTGCACACTGCTTAACTACCTGTGAATTCATACTCCTCTGCTCTGCTGGGACCTATCAGTTTACTGCATAATCAAGCTACGTGCAAACTAAACTGAGCGTCAAATGCTACCCTAGATAAATTAACAGCCATAAGGACTGTTAAGAGGCTGGTCAAAGTACAGTAAACTGGCTCTCACAAGGTTAAAAGTGCTCTTAACATTACTCTCAAACTATCCTGTCATTCTTCCTGAGGGAAAAAAAACACACAAGAGTTCATGAACAAGTGCATCCCAGAAGGACCTCTTCCACATAACTACATTCCTGGTAAACAGGAAGGCAATTCTCCCAGCACTTGATTTTCCAAACATGAATATTCAAGACCTTGCCAAAAGGATTAGATAAGAGCTGTACAATCAGAAAGATTGTACAGAGACTGTGTAAGATAGCAACGGTAATGAATTAGTACATGTTCACTTGTGTGAAAGTCTAGTCACGCAAAGGGTGTGAAGGGGCACTGATGGATTCCTTTATTGGATAAGTACTTTTAAACCTTCCTCCAAGTGTTCCACCTACTCTATTAGGTTGTCTCAATTTTACACGTGTGTGTGTGTGTGTGTGTGTGTGTGTGTGTATACACACTTTTTTTTTATTCATTCAAAGGTTTCAAGATGGTACAATGCATTAAGGAAATAGAGACAAAAGTAGCCAGATTCTCTAATCCCAAAGAGCCTTCAGAGCAGTTGATAAAGAGGTAGCAGAAATCAGTGCAATCGACCACCACCAATGTCCACAGGGACTACACTGGGATACAAAGAAAAGAGCGGGAACAAAAAGGAACAAACATGCACACAAAGAACTTTCTTCATAAACTGTTAAGGAGCTATAGAAATGTTTTCATTACTCATATGTTACTTAACCTGATTTTAAAGGGGGGATATTAATAACTGTCCTGTCTATTTTTCAGGGGTCATCATAAGGGTCAAATGAGATAAATGTTCCATTTACGTAGTGAAGCACTTAAACAGAAGGCATTGCCATTAAAAGATTTGCTTATGTTTCTCAAAAGAAAAAAGGGGAGGGGGTGGCAAGTAAAAGGCCAGGAGGCATCCCAAATGTCTAATATTTGGGGAATGAATGCCTCAATATGGCCTAATCAAGGAAAATTTTAGTTATAAAAAAACTGTACTTAAAAAACACTTTAAAAGATGGATACAATGCACATATGTAAAGAAACAGTATGCCCAATTATATTTTAAAAATATGAAAAATGAAGAAGAAAATATGCCCAGGTATCATCAGCGACTCCCTCTGGTTGGTGAGACTGCTAGTAGTGTTCCTCCTCTACCCTGTGCTGATCAGTGGAAAGCAAAAAACAGATTAGCAACTCGCTCTTATGACTTATTCCACTTTACTTTAGACAGTATCTAACTTGGCACCAATTTACAGTTAATTACTTTCAAGCTGAAGGCATGAACATGTTTTCAAGGAGTTACACAAATACCTGAGATATTCAGAAACTGCACCACTTGAACAAGTCTGAGACCATTTCCTTACAAGTAAGGACCCTTCTGACTCCAAGATTGGGAATTCTGTCATCTCAGCTCACACACCCACGCAGCATTCGGCCCACCCTGCCGCTCTATCATGGCATCTTGCTTTGTTTCCTTCGTATCGTACATCATTGTCTGAAATAACTTTGCTTTTTTGCCACTTCTCCCCCCGACCCACCCCCGCAGAACAGAGGCTCTTGGAGAGGAAGGCTTTTCTGCTTCGCCCCTCACTGTATCTCCATCATCCAGCAGACAGTGCCTTAGCAACACAGCTGGTGCTCACTGAACATATTTGTTAAATAACTGTGCCCAAGTCACCTGGCACCACTCACCGTTCGCAATCCTCTCCCCCAGTGGCATCCCTGCCATTGTCACTAATTTCTCCTGCACTCCCATCTCTGTAATTTAAACTATCCCCCAAAGCATTAATTAACATGAAAACCAAAGAAATGAGGAATTCAAAGCAGTAGAGGATAATCCACGATTCTCTAGGCACAAGCACCACCTCTGCTCCAGCAGTGCCTGGTCTCACTGCAGCAGAGCTCGGATCCCAAGGAGCTGGGAAGTTGTCCACGTCCTCTTCTCAATGTATCCTAACCTCCCCCCCCCCCCCCCACTCATTCCCTGTCACCACCTCCACGTTCCAGATGAAGACACTGAGGCTAGGCCAAATGAAGCAGACCCCCAAGTCACCCAGTTCGGAGTGGCAGACACCAAAACTGCAGCGAGAGTGAGGCAGGAGCAGCACACACAAAAATGCATATGGGAGAACGTCAGACAAGTTTTTGGTCCCAAGGATCATTCATACTCTTAAAAATTACTGAGGACCCAATATGTGGGTTTATAAGAATTATGGCCGTTGATATTTATCATATTGGAAAGTAAAACAAATTCCTAAAATACGTGTTTTCAATACATTATTTTTTATTCATTTAACAATAACAATGAACCCATTACTATTACATGTCAACCATTTTTGTTGTGTAAAGAAATTTAGTGAGAAGAGAAAATGTTTTTACATTTCTGCAGATCTTTTCAGTGTCTGGCTTAAAGGAAGACAGCTGGATTCTCACATGTCCCCCTGCATTCAATCTGCTGCAGTATGTTGTTCAGGCTGAACCACCTGAAGAAAACCTACCTCACACAGATGTGCAGTTGGAAATAGGAGGAGCATTTTAATGGCTTTTCCAGATAACTATGGACACTCTTCTTTGATGCTACATCAAAACTTAACAAGCATAATAACTTCTTAAAAGTTCACTGCAAATGGTGCAACCGCTTTTGAAAACAGTCTGGCAGTTCTTCAAAAGTTAAACATAAAGTCACCACCATATGACCTAGCAATCCCATTCCTAGGACCAAATCCAAGAGAACTGAGAACGTATTTCCAAACAAAACCGTGTACACCCATGCACATAATAGCATTATTTATAATAGCCAAAAGGTGTTAACAACCGAAGTGTCCATCAACTGATAAATGGAAAAAAGCAAAATATGGTAGATACATACCAGGGAATATTATTCGGACACAAAAATGAAGTAGTAGCACATGCTACAACATGGATGAATCCTGAAAACACAGGCTTCTAACCGAAAGAAACCAGACACAGAAGACCACAGACTATAAGAGTCCATTTATGTGAAGTGTCCAGAATAGGCAAATTCACAGAGACAGAAAGTTGACTGAATGGTTGGCAGGGGCTGACAGGCAGGCATAGGTTACAGCTCAAGTGTTTGTTTTACTTAGTTTTTGTTAGGCTGCGGGGGAAATCTGCAAAACAAAAATTCTGTCAATGGGGGGTGGGGGAGGCCAGGGGATAGTCAAGGGCGGGGAAAAAAAAAGAAAAGACACATATGTAATACCCTTTGTAATACTTTAAGCAATTAAAAAAAAAAATATTCTGTCAATAATTTTAAAGAAATCACAATCATCACCCCCATCAAAAAAAAATTTAAACCCTGACTGTCATAATTGACAGGTTTTAAAAAGACACATTGTAACACTGTAATTTTTAAACAATGAACAAGGCACCAGCCCAGAATGACTCTGTTGAGCATCATCCCATGAACTGAAGTCCCGGGTTCAATTCCTGGTCAGGGCACATGCCAGGGCTGTGGGCTTGATCCCCGTGGTGGGCATGTAGGAGACAGCTGACTGATGTTTCTCATACCGATGTTTCTCTTCCACTCTCTCCCCCCTCTCTTTAAAATCAATAAAGATGTATTTTTACAAAAATGAACAAGGTGCACTGGAGTACTTAAAAGGAGGTTGTAAAGGAAGTCAGAATGGACAGCATCTGACCAGTAGGAATGTGCCAGATTGAGAAGAAAGGAAAAGTCATCCCAATTAAAAAGGCTCAGCCCAGCCGGCATGGCTCAGTGGCTGAGTGTCAACCTATGAACCAGAAGGTCATGGTTTGATTCCCGGTCAGGGCACATGCCCGGGTTGCAGGCTCCATCCCAATGTGGGCGTGCAGGAGGCAGTAGATCAATTACTCTCTCTCTCATCACTGATGTTTCTCTTTCTCTCTCTCTCTCTTTCTCTCTCTCTGGAAGCAACAAAAATATTTTTTTAAAGACTCATTTGTTTCAATATTTGAGTCCCCATGAAGGGCCTGGCAGAATTCTATGGGCTGGGATTCTATGAAGAACACCATTCTCTGTTCTCAAGAAAATTACACTCTAGAAGGGACAGATCAGCAAGTAAATGAGCAAGAAATGTCCAGTTCCTACCACAAAGGAAATAAAGCAGGACTATGGGCGAAGGGGAAGACATTTAGATTGTGTCACCCCGTGTGGCCCGAGGCAGTCACATTCAGTCTGACCTGAAGTGACATAAAAGAGTCACCATGATCCTGGAACAGTCTGGAGCTTGTCCAGTGCAGCAAGAACCCAAAGAACTTACACCCCCATTGCTAGGACAAGAAAGGAAGCACAGGCCTGCTGGTGCCACCGCATGGTCCAGACAGGGATGAAGGCAGCCTGACTTAAGGTGGCAGCAGTGACAATTAGGAGAATGAGTAAGTTCAGGAGACGCCGTGGGGGCAGGAGATGATAGAATTTGGGGTTTTCTGGACAGGCCCAGACTGGAGTTATGAACTGGGATCTCAAGAGCATACAGCTTGCACTTGGACAATGATGCCGGTGATCACCTGGGCCAGGCAGGGAGGAGGCCGCGGTCTGAGCTCTGGCTCACTCGCAGCTCTCAAAGGCCCACCAGCCAGAGAAGGGACAGCACCTGATCATGAGAAGCTGCCTGGGAGGTGGCAGAAAACACCTAAGCCCTAACCGGTTTGGCTCAGTGGACAGAGCATCGACCTGCAGACTGAAGGGTCCCAGGTTCGATTCCGGTCAAGGGCATGTACCTTGGTTGCGGGCACATCCCCAGTGCGGAGTGTGCAGGAGGCAGCTGGTCGATGTTTCTCTCTCATCCATGTTTCTGACTCTCTATCCCTCTCCCTTCCTCTCTGTAAAAAAAAAAAAATCAATAAAATATATTTTTTTTTAAAAAAAGAAAACACCTAAGTTCCCGTGAATGTCACCCACGTCTGGGTCAAGGATAGACGCTTACACCCTCGCCTGTTTGCCTACACTTCCCTGCCTTCCCTTTTCCAGGCTCCCCCGCGACCCGCTAAAACTTGGGTGACTGCAACGTTTATTTATTTCCCGCTCGTTGCTATGTTTGATGTGTGAACTTGCCCCTTGAGGGTGAAAAGGGGGTCTCTTGATAACTAGAACACCTCGGGGTCGGGTCACCCTTTCTAAAAACCCTAAGGCTCAAGTTGGACTCTGAGCACACCCAGCTGCCGCGCTGGGTAACACTTCCTACCCAAGCGCCCTGCCTTGTCGCCCTAAAGCCGCACGTGGCGTTCGATCTGAGGAGGTGGGAGGCGGAGAGAACACTGCGCTCGCGCGATGCACAGAGAGGACGCCCCACGGCGAGTCTCCCGGGGGGACGACCGCGCCCCGAGCTGAACGGAGCGCAGACACGCAGCGCCGGCCCCCCAGCTCGGCTACTTGCCGGCCCCACCGGCCGTTCTCGGGGGCTCGGTGTCCCGGCTGTCACCCGGGACAGCCAGGAAGATGCGGTGAGGAAGGCTCGCCGGCGGGGCAGGGAGGAAGCAGGCGGGGGCGATGGGGGTAATACCACCGGCGCCAGGGCCACAGCCCGGGGTTCGAGGCCCCGGAGCTGGCCGAGCAGCGCCTCCTCACCCATCACCCCCGCAGGAGCGGTCCCTCCGCCCGGCCTCGGTCCTGGGCAGGAAGGCCCACCTCCCCGGGCACCGGAGCGGCGCGGCTGCCAGGCAGCTCCCCCACGTGGGGAGGGAGCCGGGCGGCCGGGAGAGCGGAGCAAACGCGGGACAGCGAGAGGCCACTCACCTGCTTGAAGGTGCTGGTGAGGAAGTAGACGAGCGAGAGCCCGAAGACCAGGGCGAGCACCCACCGCTTCCGCAGGAGCCGGCGCCACACCATGGCCGCCAGGTTCACCATGCCGGCGCGGACGCGGGGCGCGGCGGCCGGGGCGCGGAACGGGGCAGGCCCGGAACCCGGGCGGCATGGCCCCTACGCGGTGGGCAGCCCCATTCCTCACACCGGGCGCCGGCCCCGCGGCCCTCAGCCCAGCCAGCTCCCGACAGCCTCCCCGCGCCGCCTCACGTGACGACGTCCTCAGTCCCGCCTTCACGAGCCTGGCGATTTCACCGGGCCTCGTTCGGCCTCATTGCCATTGGTCCCTGCAGATATGCGGATTCCTATTGGCTGAATCCCGGGAAGGGGGCGGGCAATCACGTGCGTGCGGCGGAGTAGCTGTGCCGGGCTCCTAGCGCCCAGCCAGTCAACCCTGGAGAGAATCCTGTCAGAGGCCGGAAGCCCTCGAAAGTCACGTGCTCCCAGGGCTGCACGAATGATTGGCTGGGAAGGACATGAATGATGCTGCTGTGATTGCTGAATCGTCTCGGCAGGTAAAGAGAGAAAGCGTTGGTTTTGTTTTTTGCTTTTTGGTGTGTGTTTTCTTTCCTATGGTCCGTGTAGAGTCCCGCCCTTGCAGTCCCGAGGGCATTTTGCGTTGAGCGTTGGCTGCAGGAATGAAAAACGCTCCCGGCATTGTACCAGTGCACCTGCCAGCTTCCAATGCGATTAACGCAGGAGATGCTCTCTTGCATGCATTTCACTGCAGTCAGGTAAAGGTCTGGGGGCCCAACTTAAAAAATGACCTGTATTGTCGTTTTTCATAGGGCAGTAGTACGATGCGTGCTGCAGAGGATTAAAAGGCGTTTCTTTCCGATGCGTCCCAGTGCAAAAATTTATTCCAGATTTCAATATTGGAATAATTAAGGTCTGCTTCCAACAGAGTATTTGGAGCCCCTGCAAAAGCAAGCATATTGAATTAGAATCTTGGGCATTTCATTTAGGAGGCTGGGTCAGATTTGTGGATGGAAGCTTTAGGATACTATATTTTATTTTCCCCAAGGATATGCAGGTGATGGGGTATCTTCAGATGAGGACATTAAGCTGACATTGCAAGTTCTGAAAGTTGAGAATTTTTTTTGTTTGTTAATCCTCACCCAAGGATATTTTTCCATTGATTTTTAGAGAGAACGGAAGGGAGAGGGAGAGACAGAAAAACAGATGTGAGAGAGACACATCGATTGGTTGCCTCCTACATGCACCCCAAACAAGAGCCAGGGAACCTGCAACCAAGGTATGTGCCTTTGACCAGAATCGAACCCAGGACCCTTCAGTCCAAGGGTGGACGCGCTCTCCACTGAGCCAAACTGGCTAGGGTGAAAGTTAAGAAATATTTACATAATGTGCTTTCCTTCATATATGAAAATGGAACTACTGACCCATTTCTTAACTGAGTTTCCAAAAGAGAAAGAAGGCTTAGCTAGTGGGTTTTCTCTTTAATCGTTGGCCCTAGTAATACCAATGCTGACTCCTGAAAAAGCTGGCCAGGATGAGGAAGCCATTCAACAGCCAATTATGGTGGCCAGAACTAAAAGAATCAGATAGGATATTTGGTTATACAAAAAACATCCAAGGAGGCTAAACCTATTCATGGGACGTCTACACCCTTTATTTCTCTTCTAGGGTGAAAAGTCTAGGAAGGAGCAAGGGATGCAGGAAAAGGTACCGAGAAACCCATGGGGGTTTTACTCATTGAATACGTCTCGTTGAGTGCTACTCTGTGCCAGGCAGTGTTCTAGATGCTGAGGTAGAGGGGGAAGCCAGGTAGACAGGCTCCCTGCTTTTGTGGCACTTATCCTTTTACTAGGGCCGTGATGGCGAACCTATGACATGCGTGTCAGAGGTGACACGCAAACTCATTTTTTTGGTTTATTTTTCTTTGTTAAATGGCATTAAAATATATAAAATAAATATCAAAAATAGAAGTCTGTGTTTTACTATGGTGTCAAAGATCAAAAAATTTCTATATGTGACACGGCATCAGAGTTAAGTTAGGGTTTTTCAAAATGCTGACACGCCGAGCTCAAAAGGTTCGCCATCACTGTACTAGGGGATACATCATAAATAAGTAAGCAAACATGTAAATTAATACGTGCTATGAAGAAGGTTAAACAGGACAATGTTTGGTGGGTCAGGAGGTCTAGAGGAGAAGGCCTCTGGGAGGAGGTGACATTTAACCTGAAGAAATTAGCCACAAGGAAAATCATTCCAGGGAGAAGGAACAGCAAACTCAAAGGGCCTGAGGCAGGGACAGCTGGCGTGTTTGAGGAACAGAAAGTCCACTGTGGCTGGAGGGGAGTGGTTAAACGGAGAGTAGAGGGGAATGTGGCTGGACACAGGTAAGCTCCATCAGCTAGAAGCTGTAGGCCAGTGGTTCTCAACCTTCTGGCCCTTTAAATACAGTTCCTCATGTTGTGACCCAACCATAAAATTATTTTCGTTGCTACTTCATAACTGTCATGTTGCCACTGTTATGAATCGCCATGTAAATATCTGATATGCAGGATGGTCTTAGGCGACCCCTGTGAAAGGGTCATTCTACTGCCAAAGGGGTTGCGACCCACAGGTTGAGAACCGCTGGCTGTGAACTGAAGTTGGATTTTATTCTGATTGCAATGGAAAGCCACTGGGGGTTCTAAAACATACGTTCTGTATTCCCCAATTAGGACTCAGTTTCACAATAGGACAAAATGCATTGAGATCATGACCATTCTCAGAAGCCCTAAAGAGGGGTCAATGAGAAGCTAATCAGAGAGTTGGAGCAGATGGAATCATGTGCTATAGCCCATGATGCTCCAAGATTATTCAGAGGTTCGGGGCATCCGTGGACTATTCATGTAAGTGTTCTGTTCCACCCAGGGTTTGGAGTCTCTCATAAACGCCCCTGACCTGAGCATCTGTCTGGAGAGGACGAGGCAGGGGAGGCCTGCTTTCTCTGCAACCCAGTGATCACATCCCCGTCAGGATCCCTGCATGCCCACTTCAGGTGTCGTCAGCATGGAATTCTGAAGTCCATGTGGCTCCTCACAGTAAACAAGGTGATGTGTCTCCATGAGAATTCACATATTCATTCCACTTTATCCATTGTGAGTGCTGGAAAGAAGCTTTGGGTTCAGCCACTCCATGCCTCCCATTTAACAGATGAGGAATCTGTGTCCACAGAGAATCTGTGTCCACTGATTTGCCCAGAGTCAGACAGCAAGTTAGGGGCAGCATCAGTCTAGAATCCACGTCTTCTCCTGCCAGTCCGCTGCTCACTTCACCTCATCCATCACCTCTTTGCTGCACAGTTCAATGCTTTCCTCTCTCCCATGAGGACTTCCGCCGCGTCTGGGCCTCAACAACCTCATCTGTGAAATGGGGTGATAGCACTTTCCTCAATAGGGTTGAGTGTCGAATGGCATAGCGGGTGGAAACAAGGTTTAGAAAATGTCAGAGTGCTCTAGGGATATGAGATATGAGTAGTCCTTATTTATAATAACCATGGCAGTCTGACAGGCAGTGGGGATGTTGGGAGACTCTGGCTTATGCCGTGTGTTGGCTTTCAGGTCTTAAGGAAAATGCAGAGACGCCACAGCAGTAACACGGATAACGGTCCACCTGAAAGGTAGGCATCTTCTGGTTTCATTCCATCTGGCGGCTCTGGGCTTCGAGTGGTCAGGGGCAGCTCAAAGCTGTTTTGAGTAATACCTGCATCTCAGGGTTCTTTGTTTGAGGAGCAGAGGAGATCTGATTAGAAACTGCTTTGCACAGTGATGGCCTATACCTGTGGTCGGCAAACTGCGGCTCGCGAGCCACATGCAGCTCTTTGGCCCCTTCCGTGTGGCTCTTCCACAAAATACCACGTGCGGGCGCGCACGTACAGTGCAATTGAAACTTCGTGGCCCATTCGCAGAAGTCGGTATCTTGTGGAAGAGCCGGTATTTTGCGGAAGAGCCACACTGAAGAGGCCAAAGAGCCACGCTGAAGGGACCAAAGAGCCACATGTGGCTCGCAAGCCGCGGTTTGCCGAGCTGCAGTTTGCCGACCACTGGCCTATACTACTCAATGCATAACTGCTGGCTGTTGCTCTTATGGTAATTCTCAAAGCCTGTGTGACAGGTGATGCACTTGACTCATTGTATCAATGATTGCACCCATGAGATTTTAATTTATGGAGGTGACTGAGTGACAACATGGAGAGGCTAATGCCATTGAAAGAAGATCTTTATTACTTACATTTCCCGAGAGAAGGGGACGTGTTACACCACGTAGGGCCACAGGGGAAGCACCAGGGTCGCCCAGGAGGCAGAAGGGAGCAAAGGGAAAACATTGGCCACAGCTTTTATTGTGTTTTCCGCACAGATCAGGCCAGGGCAGAGGAAACAGCTTAGCATCGTCTACTTTGAGCGATGTCAGCGGGCTCTGGCCTAAAGGGTGGTCTCGGGTTGTCTGGTGCCTGGTCCTGGGTGACTCAGGGCAGGAGAAATATTGGCTGGATATGTGAGCATTAGATCAAGGAGGTGGCTGGGGATATGGGCTCTGGATTGCAAGGAAGTTGTAAACAACTTTGGCTGTTAGTTTGCCCCTGTAATGAGCGGATGCCAAATAGACAAACAGAATCTATGAAAACACAGTTAAAACACTCCTGAGCTAGGATTTGTCTAGTTAAGCCCAAGAGAGAACACACCATGGGACCTGTTCTCAGGTTGTGACAGTATCTCAGCCCCAGACTCCTGCCCTTCTGCACCCCCCCCCCCAACATGCTAGCACATGCATGCAATGAGCAGGCACCCAAGCTTTTCCTCCCTCGGATCGCATTCCAGTTCCCGTGCGATTCGGAGATTGGCTGCAAAATCAGAGTAGCCACCAGTCCCGGCATTGGGCCTGAGTTTTGCAACAAGCCTGCCTGTTCTGCAGGGAAGAGCTCTGGCCTTAAATCACACGACTCTTGGCCAAATCCCAGCTCAGCCCCTTCCCACCTATGACGCCTTTGGAACGTGACTTCACCCCTAGGCCTCCATTTCTCCACCCATAAATGGCAGATGATGACCCTCAGGTTTCTTGTGAAGGAGCGA